CACATAGCAATGTTTTTTAGGCCGTTTGTTTTATCCATTGTGGATTTTTTCCTAGTCTATGTATTTGATATAATGTTCGGTGACTATCATAAATTTTCGAATACATTTTGAGATCAATTTCGATTTGACATGCATCTGAGGATGGACAAAGCCACTGTCAGACTTGATCTTTAGACGTCAACTAATTGTAAACTTTAATCTTTTCATCTCCACAACAGAGAAGGGGCAGAGAAACTCCCGGACAATTGGATCAATCGAACCAATTCAGAATCTTACATTGATCTAAGATTTGTACTATGACTAATCCCACAACTCCAGTGCGTTACGAACGTAAGCACAAACGTAGTGTATCTCTTATCGTGTATATAAAAACAATTATTTATCAAACGTAGTATACTCGCTGCTGTAGATGCAAAATATTCAAATTGACAAGTACAGCATAGAAGTAATAATGAAGTTGTTAATAAGAGTAAAGTGTAAAGTTCCGCTATACCATACAAAGCGGTGCTTTTCGCTATGGCCCCGTACCCAAATGTGTTGGCTTACTCTGCCGCTGGCAATGATGAAAAAGAAAAAATCTTTCAACTGCAATCCGCTACAGCACGCTAATCATTTGAAATATCAGTAATAGGAGAGAAGACATTCGCGTTTATTAAGGAGCGTGTTGGTAATTGTGTGTAACCAAAAAAATTAAAAAATCAAAAGTTGTACTAAATCAGTGAGAGACGAAGATAAAGTAGGCTATGATCTCTTGAAAAACTTGCAACAAACTACCGGTATTGTGAATCGTAAATGTCGTTTACATTATTTGTAGTTTTCATCGCTCCGACACGCTTAAAAAATTATATTCGGTGGTGGTCGAATTTGTTGTGCTTATCATCTTTACATTAAATTCATATTCAAAATTTGTTATTGCAGTCTATGAGTAATGAAAAAAATATCCCCTTTTTTTGTGCTTTTGAAAACAGAAATTTTCTCATTTTACGCCTTATTGTGGGCATTGCCTTTAACCGATTTGGCAATGCGAGCAGCAATTTTCAAGGCTTCTGCCAAATTTAAAGCAGATATGTTTATCTTTGCGACCACAAGCAAATAGGAAAACGGACAGACGGACGGACAAAATTCGAAATTTCTTTCAGGACATTACTATGTGCATTGTGAACGTTTCGGCGTAATAATGAAACTTCGATAGCGTGTGCAGGGTTGATATTTTTGGTTTTTTTACTGGTACAATTTTTTATCGTATATTTTTTTTTTTTTTTTTTTTTGAAAAACGAGATATTCTCACTTCAGGTTGCATTGTGGACGTGTGTCTGGTGTGATTTAGGCCGTAGTCAATACCAACCTGCATCCCAGAACTTGTAGTGATCGTGCTAAATTTGAACCCGTTATCTTCATTTTAGGACAATGTTCCGTCGCAGACATTGCACAGACAGAGAGGCGGACATGCTTGAATCGATTTGGAATTTGATGCTGATTCGTTTTTCGAGTTTCCTTCCCCACCTATTCCAAACGTTTTAACAAAGCGAATATATCACCATTCCACCATGATGGGTATAAAAAAAAATAAAATTTAATAAAGTAACAGATAATGAAAGATGCGCGCACCCTCGCCTGTGCATTTATGGGATCAATGAAAATGTCAAATGTTTGCCTTAAGATGAAACAACAACAAAAAGCGAAAATTTAATGTTGAAACCTTTTTTGTGATGATGAGTTAACATTTTATTTATTTAATCATGTAATAAAATAAAAACTATATGAATTATATATAAATTTACATTTATTTGTATACGCTAATCAGAGAGCAATTGTTAGGAAAGCTCTTCGTAAATATCGAATATTGTAGGATTCGGTTTCGGATTAAATATCTAAAGAGAGAGAAACCAAAAGAAAATTATATTAAAAACACAAAGAAATATATGCACAACTATGTAAACCTGTTCGTAATCTGACTCATCTGTCATTCTTAGGCAAACTTCGCAAATTCGATTTAATGTAATTATGTAAAAAAAAATTATTAATTTTAATAACATCGTATGCAAATACTTTTAATTTCACACAATTTTACAATCACAAGAATAGGAAAAATAAATTAAAAACAAGCAAAAGGTAAAGAGCGACTATTTTATTAATCAAGTTTTGCAAAATAATTCTTATCGCAATAAGAACATGCTTCACATCAAGTGATAATATATTAAGTTTCTCGTCGCTTTGAAAACGAATTGTAACAGAAAAATTTTATATGAAATTTTAATGGCATAAAAAAGCAATATTAAGACGAGACTTTTTCCATTCACAAGTAACCCGGATATTTTTCATCTTCAAAAATAATTACATAAAAAGACAATTCAAAGATACCTTTGAAATATGAATAGCGAGAAAGAGAGGGAGAGATTAGTAGAATGTCCCTAGAAGAACCGACTCATTCACCAGTCACCCCGTTATTTTACATCTTGAAAAATAATTACATAAGAAGACAATTCAAAAATGCCATTTGGGTTCGTAGTGACATTCTCTTTTGCGATATGAGAGAGAGAGAGAGAGAGAGAGAGAGAGAGAGAGAGAGAGAGAGAGAGAGAGAAAGAGAGAGGAGAAGATTAGTCCCTAAATATCTTATGCTGTCAGACGTATTCTTCTCTCAAGCTATTTACATAAAAAGACAATTCAAAATACCTTTTGGGTTTGTAACTACATTCTCTTTTGAGATATGAGAGAGAGAGAGAGAGAGAGAGAGAGAGAGAGAGAGAGAGAGAGAGGAAGAAATTAGTAGAATGTTCCTACATTTCTAATGGTGTGAGATGTATTCTTTTATCAACCCATGTTTTGAGCCAATTAAAAAAGGCGCTAAAATCCTTATCTACCAACTGCGGATTTATACATCGAGTTTTTACATCGAGTAAACTCAATCGCAATTTGATTATGTTAGGAAGGTAGGAAATGTTTTGCAGACAGCTATAAACTAGCTATTCGTTGCAGCCAATCGAAAATTGGCAGCTATCGAGTTCACTCGATATTGACATATATTAACCGACTACGGATTAGCCTATGTCAATTAAATAAACGTTAAGAAGAAGTAGCAAATATCCAGATAATAAACTAGTTGCGGAGAAGGCGCCACGTAAGTAATCAAAATGTCTTGTTTAACATCTTTTTAACAATTTTAGGACCACTTTGTCAAGCACACTTGTGCTTCGATACAACCTTCTCGTACGTTTTTGATCTGTTAGAAAAAGCACGCCTTCAACTTGCGGACCAATTGCAAAAATCGCTGCTAATATTTGCTATTAACGATTTCAAAACAATTCAAAAGCTCTTAATACTCTACACACACTTAACACATTGACCCTAATAAAGACGGAGTAGCAGATTGAACATATAAAAGTAACGGTCTCGGTTGTTAAGAGTGAAATGGTTAACAATGTAGAGCCTTACAGTTTAATGCAAAAGCGTGGGCAAGACACCGATATTTCCAAGTACAATATGATGTGAAATATTATTTCTTCAAAGGTAGGGTTTCATCGTTAACCGACAGCTTTACATCTCTGGGGCTTTATTCCTATGATATATAATTTCCCCGCTTTTTATTCATCGAACTGTCTCTTTTCCGTTTTTGTACAAGTTCACTGTAGGTTTTGACTGACTGACTTGACACAGACAGACAGACTGAATGACTGACTCAATAAAAGACTGCCCGACAGACAGACTGACAGACAGACCTTTAACCTTCTTGATTGCACCTGATGTTCTTCGTTTTTGACCTCCAAAATCATCATTATACCGTACAACACTGTGGTCGCTATACCACACGCAGTAGAGCTTAAGACAAACCTACAATAAGAGTAATGCAACAAATGAGTAATGTGGCAAATTTGCACCATCTCAGCCTATTTTTTAGATCCCACCGCAGTAAAGATTTTCACGAAAATTGATCCTTTGTAGAGCAGAAAAGTCAACATTTTAATAAGTGGTGATGGGAATTGACCCATAATATTATAGTAATTTCTTAGAAAAATGAACTCTACAAAATTTAGACAAAATTCTACGCATATTTTTGGATCCTGTGTAAGGATTAAATTTGTACTGCATTAGGTTGCGTCTCGGTCCCGCTTCCCCTTTATATAGAAACAAGTTATAACTTTATTGTTCTATAAAAAAAATAAAAATTGTATTAGACAATGTGGTGTAGGGTACTGAATGGTCGACCTTGCCCAAGCATAATGTTCTTACTTGTTTTTAAAGTAGAAATATTTTCGATAAGTCAAAAAAAAAAAAATAATAATAATGATTTTCGATATTGTTGAAGTAGAAGAGTTTTTACAAGGCAGAGTTGTATTTTAAAAAAGCAAATCTCCGCTTTCAAAGCTTTTTTCTTTTTGAATACATTTTCTAAGGAATGATTGTTTATACACAATCCGTAAATTGACTTCAAATCTCTATATGCACATTTATGTGCACTGCGTTTTTATGCATGAATATACTATGATGGCCGTAAGTAAAAACATTTTGTAGGAATGCAGATGTTATGACTTAATCAATGAAGAATTCCCATCTGTTTTCTCTCTTTCGAATTTTTACACTCAGTCTGCATTCGTTTAAAGCAAGAAAAAACTGCTTTCGCAATGGCGAACTTTTTAGTATCAAATAGCCACTAGCTTACAAAATAGATGGGAAACTTCATTCGTCCGCTGCACTTGCTATATGGCATCGTATTTATAGGACATGTGATTAATATTTCCATTCATATTTTTGATCTGGGTGAACCGCCATATTGTGGCCCAAATCGGAACATTGGGGCATTAACCCGGCGTGAACTCGCACGTTTCGGCGGAAACCGTCGCATCCCAGTGGACATAGACACAATCCGAGGTCAAGCGGCACATTCTACAATATTTCAGCGGGTTGCCGCAAATTGCAGCTTACTTCGACGCAAATCTTTATATTGATATGTAAAATGCTTATTATTATTGTTGTTATTATTACCTTTATTGTTATTGTTGTTGGTATCCGTATCAGTATTGTCATTGTTAATTAAAATAAGGTAATCTCAAAGAAATAAATTCGTGATTTCAACTGCGATGAGCATCCCTAACGAAGATTATCGGATCTATTTAAAAATATACTTAGAGGGTTAGTGCAGTCGTTCTAATAAAATTTCGACAAAAAGCATATTTCTTAAAAAAGAAACAAGTAAGAACACAATAATGGTTTACGGCTCACCGTAAAATGTCGCACAGCATCCTGTAGTTGAAACGTATAGAACGTAATGAATTTTCAAAATAAGATATTATATGAGAAATAGTCGACAAAGTGATCCGACCCAATTCATTTCTAAGAGCGTTCGTCCATGAAACAAAGCATGTCAGTGTACCAAATGTCACAGGTATACGTAAGCTATCTCTACAGATTTTTTAGATAGCATTCCCAAGTACATATGATTCCGTTTCTATTGATTTTCATAATTTCATTATAGCATCTGTTATAGTTCCAGCTTTTCTTCGATCCAGTTAATGAACGAAGCCACGTTGGTAAAAACTCCTGGTAGGGAGCGCTTATCCCCACATTTGGCCGCGCCTGTTGATATAACTCCCGTTTGTAAATAACGAAATTTTCGCCCTACATGGTAACCTTCCAAACGCGTAACAAGTGGACCGCCGGAGTCTGCTTTACAGGTATCAATTTCATCTGTACCGGAAGCACAAATTTTCGTTGAATTAAAATGAGTATAAGGATAGATTTTCCGACAATAATCCAAACTCAGAACAGGTACTTCAGCGTGTAATAAAACGTCCGATATTTTTCCTGGAAAACATTTCTATATTCATTTCAAATATAGACCTATAAGTTTAAGAGGGAAAATACCTTTCTCCGTTAAACCCCAACCACTGATGACACCGTATTTCTTGAAATAATCGGCATCCTGACGTTCGGGCAAGCATACAGGCCGTACCGAACCTGTTAAATAAAAAAAAATTCGTCGACAAAATTTGAATTGAGATCCGTACTCATATCATGCATACGCTCATACTCCAAGGATCGATTTAAGCGTATTAAAGCGATATCGTTGTCCAAAGTGCGTCTTGAATATTTTTCATGTTTTATGATCTTCTCGATACCCAAGTCGATTGGTGCGGCCATGCAATGTATGACGTAACCATCATCGACGGCACAATCCTCTTGTGAGCTTATATTATATTCACGTAAACGTATACCGATTCTTAAATGTCGCAAGATTTTGAAAAAATCAATTTTGATAATTTGGCTTTTTTTACACTTACAAGTCATCTGTAATGCAATGAGCTGCTGTCAACACATAGCGCTGCGTTATCATCGTACCCCCACATTGAAATTTCTGCCCACCATTGTACATTAACAATGCAGCCCATGGATAGGCCATAAACGTGGGTTGTGCACCAAAAGAAATTCTCTTATGCGTATTATCGCCACACAAGGCACTCAAAGTATTAAGAATCTCACCCCCGACATTTTCAAAAACCGTATCCGGATCAATCTGTTTTTGTGGGCAACAAGCTATACGCTATAGCACAAATAAACAAAAATAAAATTAGTTTCGCTAAAATTTCAAATTCCTTGCGCTTTCTCGCTTAATACATTTTCGATATCTTCGGGAGTTACGAAACTGGCCTCAATAAATCGATGCACAACTGGAGGCAAATTCGTCTGATATTTAAGTAACAGTTTCGTTATAATTTCGCATTCAGAATATTTCATTTTCGTGCCTAAACCTCCGAAGGGCGTTACGCAACACTTCACATAGCCGTAAAGGAATATCAAACAAAAAGTTTCAATTAAATAAAATTTCATTTTGTGTTATAAACGCAATTAAGTTTTTGTAATTCGATCGGCATCCAATCAATACATAAATGTGACTAACTGATCGAAAAGTTGAAAATCGGAAATCTATATAAATAAAACGTGCAAAAAGTACTCATCTCAGCATCTTTTTCAATGCGAAGCGGGAGAGAGAGACTGAGATGAAACGAGATGAAATAGTAGAGGCTCTGAGAGCAGATTGATGATCCGCTTTACGGCATGGAGACTACCTCTCCATGCCGTTCGTATAATTACAGCACACTTTGAAATGTTTAAAAAGAATACAACGTGCAAGCTCACAAAAGCGAGATAATATTAATTTTGTGTACTGCACTGCATTCATATATTATTACAAATATCTAAAAGCTATAGTATGGCTTGGGCTTATCAGTGCACTCAGACTCATCGAGAAATTGAATTTTGCGAAAAATACATCGCATATTTTCTGTGTTACGTGCATTTTGCAGACACAAATCAAACAATCAACATCCATTGTATATTTTTTAATTTTCAATCAACCATTAATGGAAATTTCTCGATATTTACTTGGTAATTGTGTGCTCAGTATTGCATTTCTACTAACGTCCAAGACTTTATAAACAAGTCTGTCAAAATAAATTCGCCAAATTCTTTGCTGCGCCCGGCGGAAGAAATTCTTCGTGCAAACCTGCGCGGAAATTGCAGCCTATTGTCAACATGACCTTCAACTATTCTTTTATTCGCTCAACTGTTCGTATAGACCCAACTCTCACCTCTCGTAATGATGTCGTGGTATCAAGAAATGTCACTGTTTCATGAACATGGAATAAAAATCGATAAACTCACCTTTGTACGATTACAAAAATAGGCGTAACTCTGCAGTAATTAAATCTGTTCACATGAAACTCTGCATAGACATCAAAGACATTATTAAACAAAAATTATTTTATGATTTCATAATGCCCGCGAAGTTTCAATCAAAAGTTCAACTTATTTCTTCTTTACAACGCTATATATATTTATGTTTTTTTCTTTCAATATATATGCTCGGGGGATGACTGTCAAAAAAAAGAGAGAAAGAAGAATGGAATAGGGAAGTGTGGCTCGCGGTCTAGTGAGTGTGTGAGCAATCAACAAGTGTGACGTCCTTACCTTCACGATAGCTATGGGTATAGGGAACTCCACCGCACTTGAGATTTGAACTCGCGAATTTGGTGGTCGCGATTCTTACCGTCTCGACTACTCAGCCGGATAATTCTGAGTTCTTCTTCTTCGCATTACTTTAGAAACATATTCTGCCTAAGCTTCGCAATTACATAGGGCACTAGTCAGACCGTACATCACTTATAAACACAATATATTAAGTTTGCTCGTAAGTATATGTAACAGAAGAGAGAAAGATCGGAAAATCAATTTTAGAATTATTTTCTGGAACGTTTTAAGTTCGATTGCCTCTCTGACCGATTGAGAGTATCCGGCCTTAGGAGCCCTTTCCATAATCAAGTGCACTTCAGGATCACAGTTTGTCTAAAGTAATAAGAAACGTTGTTAACGATCTATTAAATTATCCCTAGGTACTTGAAAGCGCTTAAGATAAACAGCCAGCCCAACCTGTTAAAGGTTTTCTTCAAGCACATCGTTGTACCTTTCCCCCTTCACTGCGTGCCATGAAATGGTACAGCGACAAAGTCTTTATCGATTTTAATAGCATTTATTACGTCTCCTCAAAACCTTTAAAGGAGCAGCGGGAAGATTTCAAGCAATTTCCAGTATTTTTTTCAAAGATTCGTCTAATTAACCTTAACTAACTAATCTTAATCCAGTAAGATGTTAGTTTCTATATGAAGCAAACACAGATTGAATGGCAAATGTTTTACAGGAACTTGCAATCAGAAAAAAAGTAAAGGGCTTGAAGCTCAAATTTTTAAACCTGCATTGTTTTAGGTTAAAACTGAATAGATTGACTGAACATTTTACCAACCAGCAGTTCGCTTACGGTATTTAATTCGAAAATAGATGTCCACTATGCTTGTTGTGTGGCGTCGTATTTATCGGACATGTAATAAACATTTCAAATATTATTTTTAATCCGCATAAACCGACGTATTCGGGTCCAAACCTGACAGCAACTGCGCAATCGGCCAACAACTAACTGGTATGTGTCGGCACAAATCGACATAGTCCGATCGACTAGGGCGCAAGGCGAGGGAAAAAGGTCCATTTTGGCGCATTTCGGCGAGCTGCGGAGAACTCCGGCTAATTTTTATGCAACTCGCTATAATGATACGTAGAATGGCTACTGGGAACTAGACGCTGTTATAAGTGAGGCCTCATGCATTGTATAAAAAGACAGATCCTTATAAATTTGCCTTGCGAACTTAGGGAAGATCTGCTGATAAGGCCAAGGCGATAGCGCAGGCATAAAATTTGTCCTTTACGCAAAAAAGTACGTGCGTCCAACTCACTAATACTTTCAATGCATTGTTAAACCTACCGCGAAGGTGCCAATCGAAAAACTAACGTGCTCCCATAAAATCTCTAAAGTAAATTTTATCTCTAAAGAAAAGTTGGAGGAAAGCAAAATGAAATGTAGTCACCGACACTTAGAACGAACATAAGTCCATAAAACATAATATATTTAAAGACATTTAACAATACATCGTTACATAAATTTCTACTGAATTAAATTAAGAGTTGAAATGAAATTTATTTTAAGCTTGTGCTTACGTTCAACTCGTAACTTTAATTCAACCTAATTAAGAATGATTTCATGGTAGGCGGTAGCTAGGCGGCAGCAGGAAAGGTTTTCTTATAGTTTTCTCTGCCAACATGAAAAGATAGAAAGTTAGTCGCTATGCTAAGTTTTGTACGTGGCATTATCGAGTCCATATGAGTACAATTTCTAGCAATTAACAAACTTACATTTGTTTCATCATCACATTTATTATAGCTCCAGCTTTTCTTCGATCCAGTTAATGAACGAAGCCACGTTGGTAAAGACTCCTGGCAAGAAACGCTTATCCCCACACGTGGACACGCCTGCTGATATGATTCCCGTTTGCAAGTAACGAAATTTTCGTCCTACTTGATAACCTTCCAAACGCGCTACGAGCGGACCACCGGAATCTCCTTTGCATATATCAATTTCATCTACACCAGAAGCACAAATTTTCGTTGCATTAAAGTGAGTGTAGGGGTAGATTTTCTGACAATAATCTAAACTAAGAACAGGTACTTCAGCGTGTAATAAAACGTCTGACATTTTTCCTGTAAAGCGTATATATATTCGTCTGAAATACAAAACTGAAAACATTACTTTGAGGGGAAAAAACCTTTCTCTGTTAGACCCCAACCACTGATGACACCGTATTTCTTGAAATAATCGGCATCCTGACGTTCAGGCAGGCATATAGGTCGTACAGATCCTGTTAAATAAAAGAATCAATAAAATTTGAATTGAAATCCGTGAGCACACTACGTACGCTCATAGTTCAAAGATCGAGATAAACGTATTAAGGCGATGTCGTTGTCAAAATTTCGTTTTGAAAACTTTTCATGTTTTATGATCTTTTCGATACCCAAATCAATAGGTGGGGCCATGCAGTGTGTAATGTAGCCATCATCGACGACACAATCCTCTTGTGAGCTTATATTGTATTCACGTAAACGTATACCGATTCTTAAATGTCATAAGATTTGGAAAACCCATTAAACGCAATTTTGATAATTTGGGTTTTCTCGCACTTACAAGTTATCTTTAATGCAATGAGCTGCTGTCAACACATAGCGCTGCGTTATCAGCGTACCGCCACATTGAAATTTTTCCCGATGATCATACATTAACAATGCAGCCCAAGGATAGGCCATAAACGTGGGTTGTTCACCAAAAGAAATTCTCTTATGTGTATTATCGCCACACAAGGCACTCAAAGTATTAAGAATCTCACCCCCGACATTTTCAAAGACTCTATCCATATCAATCTCTCTTTCTGGGCAACAAGCTATACGCTATAGCAGAAATAAACAAAAATAAAATTAGTTTCGCAGAAGATTTCAAATTCCTTGCGCTTTCTTGCTCAATACATTTTCGATATCTTCGAGAGTTACGAAACTGGCCTCAATAAATCGATGCACGACTGGAGGTAAATTCCTTTGATATTTCAATAACAGTTTCGTTATAATTTCGCATTCAGAGAACTTCATTTTTTTACCCAACCCGCCGAAGGGCGTTACACAGCCCTTAACATAACCATAAAGGAATATAAGGCAACAAATTTCAATCAAATAAAATTTCATTTTGTTTTATAAACGCAGTTAAGTTTTTGTAATTCGATCGGCATCCAATCAATGCACAAATATGACTAACTGATCGAAAAGTTGAAAATCAGGAATCTATATAAACAAACGGTAAACCGTGTAAAAATTACTCACGAAATTGCCAAGTAGTCTGTGCATTTAGCATCTTACTCAATGTCAGGAGAGAGCTTATCTGATATAATAGAGGACCAGAAAGATGATTTAAAGATCTTCTTTAATTGAGAGTACCTCTCCCTATCTGCCATTCGTCTAATTATAATGCTCTTTGCAATGTTTACATATGTCATGCCTCAATTGAAACGGAATACAATATGCAAAGCCATGAAAGCGCAATAATACTTATTTAGTATACTGACCCCTAATGTTGTAATTAATACTTATCGACGCACTAAATTTTGCGGAAAATGTATCGCAAATTTTCTGTGTTACATCAAACAATCAACGTCCGTTGTGTGTTCCCTAATGTTTAATCAGTTACTAATAGAAGTTGTTTGATATTTAGTTTCAATGCAGAGAATTAATAGTGGACTCAGTTTGGCATATCTTCGAAAGTTCACATCTGTCTGCTAATTCTGATTTCTGCACGGTGTGTAACGTCATCTACGCACTGTCTGGAAGTCGAACTCTTTACTTCTTAATTCTGGTTTCTTTCCATTGGAAGTCCTCACACTTCTACTGCTACTAGAATAAAAAAAATAAAATGAATTCATTTTAGGAATGAAAAAGTTCTTCTTCTGAATCAATGTCATCTGACGGAAAAAAATGCATAATAGAAAAACTCTCGATAATTGAAGGGAACTATCAACAAAACTGTAGTTTTTGAGCTTATTCATAGATATAAGCCGCATATCTCATATGATGGGTTACATGACGTCCTGCGGTCAGAGATCATTGTTTCACAGACATAGCAAAAATCGGAAAAGCCGCCTTTGCATGTTTGCAAAAACACGCCATGTTTCGTAGACATATTTCACGTAATTCACGCAAGTACATTGGATTACTTTCGCCACTTTTAAGTTGTCAAAAAAAAAAAAGATCTTAACTAAACAGAAGAAGCCTTTCTCTCTCCCACCCTAGAAGAAGGAAGTTACGTATTGCTTTAATTATAACACGTCAAAGTTCACAACAGTTTACGCACCTTTTCATATTAGCCAGCGCGTTAGAGCATTATCCAAACAAAAAGACGCTTGCTCTTTGAAACCCTACATCACTTGCTATTACAAGATACCTTAATTTCATTCGTAAGTGATAGAAAAGAGTTGAGATAGACTGATCTTTTATTATTCCGATTAATCATCGGAACGCATGTGGTACAAATTTGCGTATTTCTATTACAACGATCGATTCGGGATCACTTTCTGAATCGACCTCAGCTTGTCTGTCCGTCCGCTTGCCTGCTCTTGTCTTGTTTTGTTTTGTTCAACCTACGAGGTCGCAACCGTTGAAATATTTTTATGAAATTTGGTACGCCGGCATGGTTTCGCCCAAAGACTAACGCCATTGAAAACACTTCCGATCGGAGCTCTTCTTAGACCGCTTCCAATATTAGGCCTTATTTTGAAAAGTCGTTAAATAAGCAACGCTAATAAGCAAAATAATAATAATAAAAATAATCGTGCCACAGCATAGTGTTTTTTCTGAAGCAATTTAAGCTGAGTGTCCGCTTTGTTCCTACGCTTTCTCTCGGTCGATTGAATTTTTTGCTCCTAAAACCTCAAAGGAGTTGTGGAAACTTTTCCAAGCAAATCAACGACAAACGATTCGCTATACTGTCTAGAGAATGTTTAACGTGAACATAAAGTTCTTTGTTTGAAGCTTAATAAAGTTGTTGGTTAGCTCGATCGTAGATGTGAATATATATACTTTGCGAGTTCTCATGTCCGCCACGTAACTATGATAACTTTTTGGGGAAGAATGTTTACCATGTTTTCCAAGACAAGCTGTAGCGCAAAAACACAAATGGAAGGATATTATATAATAAGTTTTGTCCAAATCATGTGGAAAATTGGCATAAAGTGTATGAAATACATATATACATATAGGGGAATTTGGGGAATGGGATGACGGTCGAAAGAAGTAGGGCAAGCGAAAGAGATGGGGAAGCGATCGAAACGATGTGTGTTTAATAGGGGGGCGTTCTGTCTTTACCGACGGAGCACTCACTACACCTACGAAAAAGTAAAGTCTACAGCATTGAAATTTGAATCCGCGAACACTCACTTGATCTTCACGATTGTTTGGTGGATTGTATGAGATTCGATATAAGCTCGATGTGTACGGCAGTGTTCATTTTATGTTGTTCTCTATGTTGAAATCTGCCGATAAATATTAGCCGATGGTAGGATGGCTTATATAATCAATTTCTTCTTCTATCTGTAGTAAATGAAATATATCTTAAATCCGTCAGTCCGTGTGTTAGCCTCCCAGCTATAAGAATTAAAATATGTGGTTGTACCATGGACTCCCTGATTAAGTGAATTCATATCGCCTTTTGAATTGTATGTTACATGAACAGTAAGACAAACTTAAAATCAAAGATGGCGGGTATCAGGGATTCGGCACAAGTCGAAGATAATTGTCTTTTCTCTGTTTTTTCTTAAGCAAGCATTAACAAGTGAACAGAGGGTGGTTCTCTCGTATTCTGCGTTAAAAATTCGTACTGATTTTCCATATGTGTTTTATTAATTAAAAAAAACCGACTGCATAAATAAAAATTTGTACGCAGTACAAAGGCGCTTTGATAAAAAATAAACAAGAACTTATTATAAACGGTTTTCTATTACCGAAAACATCTGTTTGCTTTGTTTTTATTTCATTTTATTTATTACATTAAGAATAATCGTTTGGTCATTCAACCACTGTACGACAAATAGTTTCGAAACTGATGTTCAAGGAATAAGTAACAGCACAACGCGATAATTGAAAATGATTTGCAAATTTATTCAATTATTCATAATCGGTTTAACCATTAACTGCATTTGCATTTCTCTGTTGTCAGCAACAGAAACGAATAAAGATGAAAATCTTTTAACTGATAAAACCGAATTCTTTCTACAAGAGGTTTGTAAAATGTGAAAAATTCGACAAATAAATTATGAGTGATTTTTATTACGTGTTTGTTCAATAAAAGCCATCTGCAAAAATGAAATTCTTTTCACATATAATCCGTAGATCGTTTCGCTTGCCTTTCCAGATACCCTTCGATTATAATCGTGTTTTAAGGCGCACCAAACGTATAACGGATTTCGATACACGACTAAATTCTGGGGATATACGCCGAAGTTCAGATCGTGCTAAAACCTTCTTTCCGATTTGGGATGATGCAGAGGGTGAATACAACCCGGAAACCACAGCTACAGCTAATAGCAAATAATTGCCCTGTATAGACATATGCATGGGTTATAGTAAATGAAAATTTCTAATTTATGTAAATAATATGCAATGAATTTTATTTTTTAGAAATAAATTATCTCCCGATTGCCAATACAGCTACCTTTCAGGTTTACGAACGTTTATCCAAAATCCTGAGAATTTCAAAATAATTGAAGTTCACCTTCAAATACTTTGCTTGTTTTAAGGAATTGTAAATATATCGAAGAAATTCGAAAACTCGTCTTTATAGATAAAAGCGTTGCAAACACTTGTTTTTCAAAAGCTTTTCGTTAACATAGCCTTCCAAGCCATCTCTACCCAAGAGTAGTTGAGGATTTTTTCATCTTACAAGTTCCAAACAGGGAAGAAATAGCAATCTTTTCTACGCAAAGATATTCAAAGGTCTACAACAAATAGAACAGTTTCATCATTCATTCAATATCCTACTCAATTATAAAATTGAATTCAGCTAAATACCTAAGCCGGTATGGATCAACTCGAAAGGATACTCATGCTAATTAATTCTAACAATGATGTTGATCAGTATTTCTGTGTTTATATTTCAATTTGCCAGGCCCTGCAGGCATGTTCCTGGAACGATTTGGGTGATTTTGGATTTTTTTTTTTTTTTTTTTATACTTGCAAATATCTTCGCCTTACACTCGAAGAAGTTATTAAAAATATATTTTTAAACATTAAAAAAAAAATTATTTTTAAATGGAATATTAATTAAGTAAGAAGATGTCATGATCGAATCTCTAATATACATCGTCATTATCTCAGAGAAGAACGAAAAAATGTAAAAAACAAAGTTTCTATGTTCTAGAATATTAGCTGGGAGTGGCTATTCCTTTCTATTTTGTAGATAAAGAATGAAAATTTATGCTCCATATCGAGCGTATATCATGAATGGCGAGAAAAAACGCGAAAGGTAATCAAAACTTGTTGTCAGCGAGTCCGTGCTGCTGTGTGTATTGACGACAACAAGCTAACAATTGTGATTTTTTTGAATTTTTTTTCAATTTTTTGTATTTTTTAAATGAATCGACGAATAATGCTGAAATGAACTCATTTTTTTATAAGAAAGTGTTTTTTTGCTGACTAACAACGCCATTTCAGCAGCCAAAAAACGTGTATTTTGACAATTATTTTTGAATGGCAGGAGAGAGAAATAATAGCATTCGAAGAAATTTTTAAGCTTTTCCTTTAAATATTAAAAAGAAATTATTTTTGCTAAATGTTAAACAATTAAGAAAATTATGTACGAACCTCTTATATCCATCATTGAAGAAAAAGGTAAATCTAAATTTTCATACACTAAAACATTACGCTACGAGCATTACGTGGCTATCTTTTCCTAATTTTTAGACAAAGAGTGGAAATTTATATCATATATCTTGTGCACTTTGTGAATATGGAACGGAAAACAAAAGTGTTTTCAGTTTTTCCTTTTGGTCATTTGGTCTTTTGCAAGTTTGTAGACGATATCTTCATTTTTGTCAAGGGGAGAACACTTACTCCGAATATTACACAGTGGAGCAGACGGACAAATGGGCAGAAGGACGTATGGACAGATAAATGCTGAAAATACTTATCTATCATTTCGAATTTAGCACTTGTCGAGAATGTATATACTCTATAGGGTTTTTGTAGCTTGCTTCTGGGCGT